CAGCATCTAGTGTTCTTTTTATTTTTAAGTAGGCACCTAAAAATTCTATGTTATGAGATTAAGTTTTTCTGTGGAACTATTTAGAATAGATATGTGCTCCTCTCTATATATTTGCATATATGCACAACAATTGCCACAGCATTAGAATAATTTAAAAAAGTATTTTTTGAAAAAGCTTGTAAAAATTCAGTATCTCATATTCACTAAACATATACCCCCCCCAAAAAAAAACAAACAAAAACAACAACCAAAAAAAAAACACCAGAAGAAAAAGAAACAGGAAAAAAAATTCTACACACTATCAAAATAAGTTGATACTTATTACTACATGCCAGTATAGAAAAAACATGCAAAATAATCCAAAATTCCACGATGATAAATTTTTGTAATTTCCACCACACAAGAACAACAAATATGTAAAGATTTTGATAAAAAAAAAAAAAAAAAAAAAACTTGGAACTATTTTTAACAGTTTAATGCTGATATAATGAAGAATTCAATCTTCTCAGTTAATAAATAAAAAAGCTAATATGATCAGGATTGGTAGGATCGGAGACACCATCTTCCTGTATTACTGAATACACAAAACCAATAGTTCCCATTAAACCCACAATGATGTTAACTTTTACCTGTTCACTAGAAAAGTATCCATGAACATATTCAATAGCTTTTAATTTGTACTCAGTCAGTACAGCCTAGAAGATATAGGAAAAAAAAAGTTGCATAATTAGTCCCTCAAAAATTATAATTATAGCGCAACCATCTGCTAGACTAATCTATTAATCTAAGAAAATCTGACCTTGCAAAATGACATTTGCAGCAATTACACTGCAATATTTCTATGTAACAGTATACTCCTTAGATAATTGAGAGAACAATGAAAAGCAGAGATGTAATTTAACTCTTCTGGTAAAAAAAAATGACTCATTTTTTCATTTATTTAATTTTACTTTTTTTTCTTTTTTCTTTTTTTTGTTAAAAACTGTACTGAGAAAACATCATCAATCTTCTTTTTGCCTCGAAGGTTTATATCAACTTTACATGAAACAAGATAATACAGTTGATTATTCATACAATCTCTTTGCATGTTCCCTGTAAAATAATTTGCAAAGCATCTTACTTCAGTGAATTTATGATGAGACTGGATAACAAGTCTGCACAGACAGAACCAAGTATACAATAAAGCTTGCTCCAGAGGTTAATGTTGCCTTATCATTATCTTTCCATAGTTCAAACTTTAATACGCAATCACACAAAACAAAGGAAGCAGAGCAGTTTAATGCAATACTGGCCACCACTTTTGACTCTGTGACGCAGTTTTGCTGATAACCACATGGGCTATCTAATAGCCAGGGCGTCCTCCCCCTCCTCACGCCCAGCTCACTGATACAAGATGTAAAGACAAGGAACCACTGAATTCCTGCCCCAACCCGGTGCAAACACCTTCCTTCCCCAGTTTCCAAGGCCCCCAGCTACTGCTAGCTCTCATGCTCATTCTCAAATCACCTCCAGCTTCACCCACACACCCATTTCTTCTTCCCAATAGCCCTAAAACCCACCCCTATTCCTTCTTTTTTTGTCCTTGTCCCTCCACACATGCAGATTCAAAGTTCTCCACCACTGCAACCGGATTGTGCGTAGCATGGGTGCACGGAAACCCACCCACACACTGTTTGTGCAAACCCTCTTCCTTTCTGTGCCTCATTAAGAGGTCAACACTACCTGACATGCTAAACTCACAGGGAAAAAATAGCTTTTCTATTCGTGTTACATTTTTTCTTCTCTCCCTTCTTTCTCTTCACATATTTTGGAAAAAAGCCTGGTACGTCATATAGCAACTTCTTTGCCAAAACAAATGTAATTCTTCCTCTTTAAATCAACAACTGAATGACTTTGTAACAAGAACACAAACAGAAAGCTCTGCTATGTGTATACTTATGAAAAAAAGAAACCAAACAAAAAACCAAACTTTGCTAATAATTGTAAGTCTATATGGGGAAAGATAGAACTAAGCTACACATTAAGACATTTAAAAAACCGGTTCCTGCTAACTGTAGGACTGAAAATGGAACACACCAACACAACTGACATGTAAATCATGTAACAAAGAAGGTTCTACTACAGAGCTAGAAATGAAGTTTAAACAAAGACCTAGCAACAAAGGCACAAAATAAGCACTTGGAAAATGAATGTTACACTGCAACAGCACAGCTATTACTAACACAGCACAGCACTGTTCCTTAGATCAATGGTAAATTAGGTTTACAGGAACACAGGCAGATAGCATACAGGAAACATAATTGCCTAAAATCACATGTCAAAACCCTTTTGTTCGTAGTCTTTAGTAATCACAGAGCATATTCTGAAGGGCCGCACTGCAGTAGTGATATTTGAAACATTACTCCCTCCCACCACCAAATCTGAGAAAGCATGCATGTGCAAGTTATTCCTTGGGGTTTTTTTCCCCAGATTTTCCATAAAAATTCTTAGGTTGGGATGGAAGTCCACACCCTGAAATATCTTACGCTGTCACCTTCTTAGCAGGTTACACAGCATGGAACATACCTGTTTTATAAAGGAGAATTTATGACCATGACCTTATGCAGAAACATTAATAAGTGCGGTTGTGATAACAAAGACTCATCCCGGGGGCTTTTGTGCACGGTGGTTTATACCTCAGTATGTTCCAGAATAATAATACTACTACTACAACTGCAGCCATCACTGCATCTCATGCTGAAGAGAAGCTGAACTGAAACTGAACTCTGCAGCACTCAAGTCCAAATAAAGGAAATGACCTCTCCTAGACAACTCATCGTAACAAAAACCACTTATTACAAAAATGCTAAGGATTTCTTTTCTGCCATAAGGCAATCTTAACTGAAACATGCCCTTCATTTTCACACCAACACAGCTTTAGCAGGATACTTAACTGTTCCACTGTGACACTTAAATCACCTCTGCTTAACTACAGCAAAATATGTCATCTCAGGTTTACTTCCCACACAAGACAGGAACCATTCACCTCAGAGGTTCTGATTTTTTCCATCTCCTTTTCCACTTCCAGCATTTGGGGAACTGTCCCAAACCACCAACCCCCAGCTTTCCTGTTAAAAGCTGGCCTCTGTGCAGAAAGAAATGAGAGACCTGCCAGACACCAGGAAGCCTAGTTTGCGTCTCTGCTTCCCACAATTAGTAGGCATTTTGCTCAGTGAGTTTTTAACAGGAGATGCAAAAGTACGTTTCACAGCATGCATCAAAACCCAGGATTTCACATCCCGGAGGAAGGTGCGCACATACCCTGTATTTCTGTGTTGTATCTGCTAAACCATCACATAAAATGTGGATACCTCACACTATAAATCCCTGCCTCCAGTCAGGCCAAGTAAATGAATGCAGCCTCTCTCCCCAGATAAGAAATATTTGTGTATCTTGGCTTTTCTTCCTCATCTTCCCTGACAGAGAAAAAGGTGTGATAAGCTTATTCAAGTGCTTATGTCAAATGAGCACTCTTCAAGCACGTGTTGTTAGCTCAGTAGTAGTAGTCTGGACATTCAGTCTGAGCTTTCTGAGAAAATAAAAACACCACAAAGACAACAAGCATGTCACAGCACCTTTACACTGTTATATGTGGACACATAGAAACTAGGATACAGGAGCAACACAGGATTACAGTTCTTCACGCTGAGGTGAAATTTAGTCTTTATTGAATCCTGAAGTGATTATCAAAGACAAACACCTAACCCGGTGCGTTTACCAAGAGGAATATTCTACCACCAAATGGTTAAACTACCACGCAAAACGAGAAGTTACCTTTCTAATTTCATCCAGCACGGTTTCAAATGATTTCTTATCCATCTTTATTAGTTCATTCAATGCAGATACTTAAACATGGAAGAAAAAAAAAAATCCAGGCCAAAGACTTAGTCTTTAAGCATACAGGAGAAAAAAATAGAAAAAAAAAAAAACAAAAACACTAAAAAACAAAGCAGTAGGGCAAGTAAGGCAGCCCAGGATCTTCTGAGGCCCTGGAAATTCAGCGGTTACGCTTTCGCAGCGCTGGACACAGCGGAAGAGACAAAGGCTCGGAGGAGCCCCGCGCCCGCTCCCCGCCCGTTCCCGAGGCCGTTCTCGCCGGAGGAGGCCGGGAGAGCGGGGCCGGGGGCGGCGGGGCCGGGCGGCAGCGGGGGGGGGGGGGTCGGCTGCAGCCCCTGGGAGCCACCGCTCCCCTCAGCACGCGGCACCCGGGCCCGGCCGGCCTGCGGCCCCGCAGCCCATAGCTCGCTGCGCCACCACCCGCGGCTCCGGCGGTGGGTCAGGAGGGCGCGGAGGGGCGCGGCGGGGCGGCCCAGACAACCGAGGGCGCAGCACGGCACCACAGGCCCCGCTGCGCCGCCGCCGCTCAGCTGTGACATCACAGCCCAGGGCCGGAGGCCCCCTGCTCCGTGGTGAGCGCCGGCCACGCTGCCTGCGCAGAAGCGCTGGAAAGCAGAGCTGGACTCGCCCTTCTATCCAGCTCCTGGGCGGCGCTGCGAAACGCTGAGAGCTCCTTCGGGGCGCCGCCGCCGTCGCTCCCTCTGTAACCTGCTTGTGCGCTGCCGACGCCCGGTTCAGAACCGGCACGGTGTGGGGCAGCCCAGCGCTGGGACGAGCCCACCTACCCCCCCCCCCCGCTTCGCTTCCTCGGGGCGAGGGAGGGGGGAGGTCACGTGGCTGCCATGGCAACGCGGCCCGCCCGCGCGGCGGCCCCGCCCCGCCGCGGCCTCCATGAGGGAGAAGCGGCCGCCGCGGCCGTGGCGGGTGATGGCCGGCGCTGGGCTGGCCCTGCTGGCCCTGCTCTGGGGCTCGCAGGTGGGCGGCGGCCGGGCCGCCGGGGAGGGGAGGGTGGGAGGGAGGGAGGGTGTCCTGGTGCGAACCCGGCGGGGGCCGGGGGCAGCGGCGGGGCCGGGGCGGTAGCGCCCGCCTGGCCCCCCATCCGCATGGAGGTGCGGGCAGGGCCCCGTTTCGTCCTGCTGCCTTCCCGCGCCTCTTCTGTCTTGCGCCGTTCTGGCTGGGGGCTTGCTTATGCGGCTTCACAGTTCTTCTGAGATAAACGCATACCCGGGGTGACTTTTTTTCAGGGGTTCCCAAGCAAAACGCTCTGCTTAAATGAGGAAAAACTTGATCGTCTCTGGGTGAATAACTTTGCGCTTCTTAGTGGCAGGTTTTCTCCGCGCTTTGTTACTCTGTGTTTTTCTCCGTGTTCGGCTAGCCTTTCTGAGGCGGTTTGCAGTTCTGTGGCATCACCTTGCCCCTGCTGCTGGCGAGGTGTTTAACAGAAATGCCGAACGGCGTTGGGCCTTCAGGGTCGTCACTTGTTACTTTCTAGTTCTAGCCTGATCCTCCTGTTTTACTGCTCAGCTTGCAGCAGCACAACGCTGCTTGACTTCCATCCTTCTGCTGGAAACATAGAACAAAAAGGTGGAAGATCATATTTTTTTTTTTTTTTTCATTACCCTTTAAAACATGTACTTTGACTGGAATTTTGCTGTTTATGGTGTCTTACACTTTCCCATTTCCAAGATGTAGTTTTCTTTCTTGACCTGTACTTTCCCATAATTCTTAGTTTTCTTATTTTCGTATCTTCTTCAAGTGGTAATTGATTCAGTTGTGTTTGTAGCTTTCTCTACTATCTTCCTCATTTTGGAATGTGATTTACAGATAATAATAGCAGCTCGGATGTAGGAAATTTCAGGGTGGTTTTTTTTGCCTTCTAATTCCAGAGTTCCCCAATCCAAATGACTATTATCTAATTTCCTGTTTGTCAGAGTTTTCCGATTTGCAGTCGAAAAGCCTAATTACAAGCCTATTTCTGTTTATATATCTGCTTTATTTAAATTGAATAAATCAATTTATGATGCTTCAGTACACAGTTGCTTTCTACTGCTGGTTATTCTAATCCCACCATCATGGAATTTAACTACTAGTGGATATTTATTTTGTATTTTCAGGTTTTAAAAGCATTTGATTACTTCTCTCCTTGGAAGGGACAGCAAGAGATGTACAAGCTGGACATAGGCTGGCCTAAAATTCCAGAATACTTCACTGGCCAAACATTTTGTGTTGCTGTTGACTCTCTTCATGGTTTGGTCTATGTAGGACAAGTGAGTGAGGAGACTATAGTTCTCACCTTGTTGTAGTGTATTTTTGCCTTTAAAGTGTCTGGTTTAGATTAGGGGGTATATATATATATATATGTGTGTGTGTGTATATATGAATAATGATTGTATAAAAGTTAGAGAAAATTTAAGTATAGATGGCTCTGCTGTATCCATCTTTTAAAGCAGTTCTGGCATTATGCTTGTTTGTGCTTTTAAAAGCATTAAATTTCTGCGGTATGAATGCATGTTCTAGCTAACTGAGTTACAGTAGCTTCTTCTCTTAACTGTATGGCAAAATGTGATGCTGGGGCAACTGAATTTTCCACTCTTTCAGCCTTTGTCCCATTAAATCAAAACCACGCAGCTCTAACAGCCAGTTAGAGTAATTGGAGCTCAGTTACTTGCTCTACCCAGTTCAATGCATTGGTATATCTGGGTCCACACGTAAGATACTCTCCATGAAAAGTGGTGGGATTTAATTATAAAGCACAGTATGAGTACTTGACTGCCATGCAGCTAATAAGTACGGTTGCAGTTTTTCATGTCTGTGTTACACTTAGCATATTTTTCAGCAAGAACATAAAACATGATTCAAAATGAAGACCAAGATAACTGCAGGAGCTTGGCTGCTCTGAAAATTGGACTCTCTGGTTTAAGTTCAAGCTCTAGAATGAGTGGAAGGTTTTGCATGCTAAACTTAGACCCTTCTCTCTTCCTTTTTCTAGATGGAAAAAAGGATATCTAGCAGACATTCTTGGGAGATTCTTATGATTCATGAAATGTTCCAAAAACCTTAAAAGAAATTTTCAAAAATGTGATTACTTCTTTAATATGTTTTCTTAATAGACCTTTTTTGCCTTTTCAGAGGGGAGAAAATGTGCCAAAGGTACTTGTATTCTCACAAGAAGGCTATTTTCTTTACTCCTGGAATAACACAGTTGAAATGCCTCATGGTATCTTTGTATTGAGCACTGCAACAGATAGTTCAGTATGGATCACAGATGTTGGAACAGGTATCTGTGCTGACAATATGAGAAGTATAAGGTGGGGAAGAAAATGCTAATACTGCAGATACTACTTTAAACAACTCATTTATTTAAGTCTCAATTCTGAAACAGATTTGTGTTTTTCTTGCTGTGAACAAACTGCTCAGGTGCTACACAAAATACTCTGAAGGTTTGTGAGTTGTGCTGTTTGTCTGCTTATAGCTTCTGAACTTAGTAAGCACTTTCCCTGCCATCCCTCCCTCCAGTAGAAGTATCAAGGAAAAAAAAAATCTTCTGGCTAGACTTACTGTCTAACCTGTCCTAGGTTTGGTGACCCTAATACAATGGATGAGTATTGTTGTAGCCTATGGATTTACTAGCCCACAGTCATATTCTCCCTGTAGAATTTTGTCTGATTTATTAATATCATTTGTGAGTATCAGGAGATTTTTAATCAGTTGCAATACTTAGATTTTGTTTCATTAAGATGTTTTTGCACTTCTTTCTTAACTCAGGGAAATACGGGCACACCGTGAAACAGTATAGCCCTTCGGGTAAACTTTTGCAGATCTTGGGTACACCAGGTAATGCTGGCTCAAGTTTGATTCCCCTACAGTTTGATCAACCAGCAGAGATCTTTGTAGAGCAAAGTGGAGATATCTATGTTGTGGATGGAGATGGAGGAATGAATAACAGATTGCTCAAACTCTCAGACGGTACGGAAAAAAGATCTTTGCAGTAGCTGACCATTGAAAATTTAATTTTAAATAATGCAGCTTGAGAATACTTTTAAGCAAGGACTAGGTAGAGCTGTCATTTAACATTAGTTTGAAAACTTTGTCAAATCAGATCCTGGTTTATTGCTTGTCACTTCAGGAGAAATCTCTTAACCTTTTATGACAAGAGGCTGAGAGAATGAGTTTGTTCAGTCTTCAAGAGAGAGGGCTAAGAGGGTTTCTTACTGCTGTCTTCAAGTCAGTAATGGGAGGGTATAGAGAAGACAGAGGCACACATTTCTTGGAGATGTACAGTGAAGAATAAGGAACGCTGAGCAAAAGATGCAAGAGGGGGAAATTGCTGTTCGATTTTTGGAGGGAAAGATTCACAGTGAGGGTGGTCAGACCGTGAACGGTCTGCCCAGAGATGGTATGCAGCCTGCACTCTTGGAGATGGTCAAAACTTGATGAGATATGAGCAACCTGATCTAATTTCAGAGTTGAATTTGTTATCAAGGCTAGTCCTGCTTTGAGAAGCAGGTTGGACCAAATGGTGTCTGGAGATCTCTTAAATTATTCTGTGATTCTGATTAGCTTGCTTATATCCCCAGTTAGATGATCATTGTCAGTTAGGGCAGTGAGCGAGGAGTCTGCGTGTGCCCACAGTTAGGAAAAAGTGGAGGAGCTACCATTTCTCCTCTGTACTATCATAAAGCAGTTTCCTAATACCTAGTTTGCAAAATGATAAATTGTTAAGACTCAAAACTGCCCAGTAACAAATGTAAAAAATGAATTTAGTAAACAAATGAGGATCATAATCAGCCAACCTTTTTTTTTTTTTTTTTTTTTTTTAAATACAGTGCTTAACAGTCTTGGACTATGGCTCTTGTGTAGTAGTGGCTACGTTTCTGTAACCATAATCCTGAAGCCAGTAATAACAATCCAGTAGTCACTGTAGCAGTTCCGGTATTTCTTGGGTTTATGTATTGAGAGTACTGTGTTTAAAAAACTGAGTTTAGGAATTTCACCTTTTAAAAATTACTCAAAGTAACTTTGTAAGGGAATGACTTAAAGCTGTTTCATTTGTTGTTTTCTTACTGTGATTTTTTTTTTTACTTTTATTTTTCATGGTGCTCACTGTTTAGATTACAAAGAGATATGGCTGACTGGAACAAATGGGACCGGCATTGGTCAGTTCAAGATTCCTCACAGTGTAACAGTAGATGCTTTTGGACGGGTAAAGAATAAAGGGAGAACATTTTTTCATCTTCCAACAGATTTGTTTAAATGTATTTGAAGAAAACAAATTGTATTTCTTTTTTAATTGAACTGCTGTGATCTGGGTAATTTCATGGGAGCTACAGTTTTCGGTGTGACAGTTGTCAGGAGCTGAAGTTTCATACAGCAGACCCAACTGAAGTAGGTGATTCCAAGGTTAACACAAGGGCTCTGACCAGCTACCTTGCCAATGTCCATGCAACAACAGACTGTTCCTCCTGCAGTTGCTAACAGATTGCCATTGTGCGAGTACAGTAGAACTATGTTTTGCAGTAAATATCTAGACAAGCACTTACGTTTCTTCAGGGGACTTTAATTTCCTGTTTGGAAATTCCAAATAAGCTTAAGATGATAGTAGGGCTCTAGGTAGGTTGTGGATATCAGTCCTTTTCTACATGCAGCTCAAGGCGTTCAAGAGTCTACTTCTGCCAGGTGTTAATCGTAGTCTGGCTTTTGCTCTGCTGCTCAGGTAAAGGAATTACACAGTTGCTCCTTAATCTGTTTCAGGGAAAATAAGATTGCTTGACTAAAACATCTTAAATCACTGGTTTGAGCTAATTCTGCTGTATGAACCAGAATGAGAAGCAGGTATAAAAATCACTTCTCTGCCAATACTGGCAGGGTGGGAGGGAGAGGGATGTGGTGACTTTATGTTGAAGGGTAACCGTGAGTATATACATTCAAAGACAGCAAATGGAATGGGCTGTGATTTTATTGCCAGTGTAGTGCTGATCGTCGGATTCCTAGGAGATCTAAGAGAACGTGGTAGCAGTGTTTAATTTAAAAATAGTGATGAAAGATCTTGGGTCAACTTGTTTATTGCTCCATTTTGGGTGTTATCCCAGTCATGAAGTTTGCTTATCAGACTGATGGGTTGTCAGCAGCTAAAACTTCAATAACTGTAGTGCAAGAAATCCCTTCACTGGAACTGTCTAGTGGTATTGCTAGCTTGCATTGTTTGTGAAACCAGTTAGCACAGGGTGGGACAGAGACAAGCTCCACAGAACTGATTAGACAAAACATGCTGAAAATGCTCTTAGTGTTTAAGTTGCTCAATATTTGTAGTAGTATTAGGCATATCGAGAGTGTTTGCAGATGCAGATGTCATAGTCATGGATCATGAAATGAGACTACTGCTGGAAAACAAATTGTTAGCGGGTGACAGACCAGCATCTTTAGAATTAAATAGGTGGGAATATGTCTTTGCTGGGAGAGCGAGGGAATCCTAGTAAGCATGTCCATATCATAGCCACAGAAATTAAAACACTGATTTCTGTTAAAGAAGTACGGATTAATTTGTGTACGTTAACTATGTGATAGTTTTGTTTTATATCTGGAAGTCCTATCTACTTACGTATTTTTGAATGGGGAGGTACATTCTTCCAAGGGGTACTTCTTTTTTACTACATGCTTTTGTAAGTAACTAATGAATTTGATTTGTGCTATTTGTGAACAGCCATGATTTTTGTTCTTAACAGGTATGGGTTGCAGACAGAGACAACAAGAGGATCCAAGTTTTTGATAAAATCACAGGGGAGTGGCTTGGGTCTTGGAGCAGCTGTTTTTCAGAAGACGGACCCTATTCTGTTAGGTATTTTTGAACAGTTCTTCTAGAAGCATGCAATTACATAAATAAGGTGTACTCTTACTGGTGAATTAAAATGTTGATATTTAATGCCTGATGACAAGGACCTAACCAGTTTAACTAATCGGGTGCTGGGCCCTAATCATATGCAAAGGTATGCACAGTTGTATATTGACAGAGAAATCCTGGCTTTATAACAAGCCCCATGGATTTGAGTGCAGGATTAGGAACTTAATTTTAAAGTTGTTGTGTGTTGTTGACCTTACTGTTGCAGCTTTTACGGGAAGAGAGATTGTCTTGAATGAATTGTCTGTAGTGTAATCCGTCTCAAGGAGCAGCAACATGTAAAGCAAGGCTTACAAGTTAATTCTCAACGTTTCACTGCGTTTAGTCTGTCGTAGCCTTCAAAAACTTGACTGTTGAGGTTTTCTTTGTTTAAAAGTGCATGGTTGTGTTAAAATGAGTTACCATATGGAGTTCGTAATTCAAAAATGTGTTTCTGTCTTTCACAGATTTACTGCCGATTACAAATACCTGATTGTAGCTCAGCTGAACATCAACCGGTTAGCAATTTTGGCAGCACCACCGGTTGGCTCTATTGGGGACTGTTTTATGGTCAACACAGTCCAGCTGGCAGATGAAACCAAACCACACCTTGTGGATGTCGACATGAAGAGTGGAGCAGTCTATGTCGCAGAGATTGGAGCCCAGCAAGTACAAAAATATGTACCCTTAAGCTGATGGTTTCCCACAACTACCATGGCACAAGCTGTGTGACATATAAGACCTATGACCACATTTCCTTGAGTTTTCTGTAGCTTGTGTTTCCTTAGACAAACACAGAACATTGTGCTCCCAGAACTCTAGAGCTAAGAATCTGTCCTAGCTGTTCTGCAGTGCTGGAGCAATACTTGATCTTGAGGTGTTACTCATTTTAGTAATTCTGTGGTGGCTTTTGTTTTTGTTGCTGGCAGTTGTAAAATGACTTTTATAAGCATCTTGATTTTATTATATAAAACTTCACGAACATAGCTGCTGTTCCCGTCTAGGGTCATCTCGGGGCTTCTCTACTTAGCCTGTGTGTATTGTTAAATGAAGTTCAGAACTGTCTGAAAGAAGTTTATAAATGATTTCTTAGGAGGTGAGCACCTCATTTTAATATTTCTTCACTTGCTTTTTTTTAATTACTATGCTAATACTGACCAGCACAGAATATAGGGGTGCATTATGTGGAATGAGTTGCTGCTGGGATACTGGCGTCAGTGCTGATACTGGCATTTGCCTTAGGTAGTTAGTGACATTAGCTAGAGCTGAAAACTTAGGTTTCAATGCTTAAGTGGTAAAGTCTGTAATAAGCTTAAGTTGAATTGATATCAGGCACTTCAGACTAAATTAAAAGTATGTGCACAGCATCAAAGTACTGATTCTTAACTAAATCAATTCTTAACCTGATTTGATTTATATCGGCATGAGTTTTTTTGTTTCTTATGATTTCATAGTGGAACATACTGAAGTTCAACTCATTTAAGTTCCTCAAGATAAACAAATTGCAATTTCCTAGGAAAGACTAAATCAGCATTAAGGGACTGGTAGAACGATGATTTTCTCCCAATTTCATTGAAGCCGTCAGTTAACAGCAGTGCATCTGTTTTGATTTGGTGATTTTATACTGTTTTATATCCAGAACTTAGACCTCATCAATGCCATTAATGTCTAAAGTTTATTACAGTGTATCCTAGCAGATGTCTTCAAGCTCAGTCCTAAAAAATGCTGTCTCTTTTCATTCCCAGTCCAGAGTGGTTCTGTTTTCCATACAGCATAGAGAGGACTGGGTATAGGAAAATGGGATGGGGAAAATGGCATGGCAGAAATGAGACAGTGACTGATTACCTTTGTAAAGCTGTGGGCCTACATTCCATATTTATCTACTATCTCTTCAAAATATTTGGGAGGGGTTTTGCTGTTTCCACACACTTACTCTACTGTGTGGACTATTTTAATGTTAATTACCAGCTAAAAGAGGCAACTTTTTTTTCTGCTTCCTTAGAAAGGGAATATGGGAAATAGACTTATTCTGCTTGGAAATGTCTACTTCAGTGAATGTTACCAAAAGCAAATACTTTTTAGTTTGGCAGGTTTCAGCCTCTGATCAAAAATTTGTGGGTCAGCAGATGGAAAATCTGTCCAGAAAAGTCAGATTAGTATTTTTTGTGGAAAGTAACTCAGCTGTGGAGCCTGATGGCCTGATCTCGGTACTACTTGAAATTAATGCACTAAATGTGAATGCTTTGTTGTTGGCTACATCCACAATAACAAAAGCAGCTCTTACCTGGCTGCTTTCATGCAAGCCTTAGAACCAGAACTTCAGGGTTATACACTAGCAAATACAGTCCATCATTCACATGGTCTTGAATGGAAGCTAGTAAGCAATATTTATTAGCTGAAAGCGTAGCAGTACTTCCTCTAGACCTAAATGGATGCATCCCCATTGCTTTGCAGTGTGTTGTGTAGATTTTCTAACTAGGTCTCCACTAGCTCAGGGATCTCTGCTCTGTGTGCAATTTCGCTATGTCTCACCTACAGAAGGTGGATTTTCTTGTAAAAATATTAGTGTAATATCATTAACTATATTTGAGCCTATCTTGGTGGTGTAAGGGGTCCAGGCACATCCATCCTTCTTCACCACATCCTCTTATTTATTTTTCCTTTGTCACATCCATTTGAAAGACAGCTTAAAGTTCTCTGGGAAGATGTTTCTGTGTTCAGTAAAGTAGTGTGCTTTTGGATGTTGCTGAGTAAGTTATCTCTATGAGCTTGTTTGCTGCGTGGATCTGCTCTCAACTCGCTTTTTACATGGACTTTTGCAGCCCCTAAAAATGGGGAGCATTCATCCACTTTTGTCTGGCTTTACAGAGATAGGCCATGGTGCCAAAATGTGCCTTGCCTCTAGGCATTTGGGTATCTGTGATAAGAAGGGATGCTCATTATTAACTACGATGAGATGCCTAGGCTCCTTTATAGCTCTGCATCTATGACCAGACTGAGAAAATGATTGATTTGAGCGCTAACTAGCTAATTCTCTGAAGGTTTTCTTATGTATCATCTTGAAATGGTTTTCTGAAAAATTGCATAGTAAGATAATTTGATAAAATAAATTGAGAATTTCCCATTATGAAAAGGCTTGGGCACTTTATTTCTGTATTAATATCAATACATTCTGTTGCAGTGGATTACTTTTCTAAATATGGAGTCCTCAGCACTTGCATAAGGTATTTAATAATTTCTGATACCAACATTCAAATATAATCTAAAATTCCATATTATCTTTATACATTACTATTACTGTGGCTTATCTCTTTTGCATTCTAATTTATGTATCAAGAAAGGCACATAAATATCTCCCAGATGTTTTCCTCTAAGTAATTAGTAAAATGGGATGGTGGGTTACATAAGTGTCAAGTATAAAAAAAATATTTAAACTGTATACTTTTTTGATGCTAATGGGGAAATTAAAAACAAACTAACAAAACACTTCTTAACATAGAATCGGGTTTTATTTACAGAAAAGTTTTACCAAGCAATCTGTTCAGTTTGTAGAAGATCAAGAAGGGACTTCTTTATGGGTTAGAAATACTTGTACAAGAAGAAAAATAAGGTACTACAGTGTTAACTAGGCAAAAAAGAAAACCTAAGATGATTGCTAGAACCCTCAAAAATCTGGTTTTAGTTAATAAGTGCCACCTTTTAAATGTGAGAAGTAATCACTGGAATATCCAAGTAAAGGAAATAGGAATATTCCCTGTTTTGATATCTCCAACTTTGCAGACTTTTTTTTTTTTTTTTAATTGATCTTTTTCTCTGGGTAAATACATAGATTGTTAACTGGCTGACTTTCCCAGGAGGTAAGACCAGGTTATATAGTCCTTTCGCTTCTAAAACCTATTCATTCACTTCACCTTGATTTTTCTGTGATGCTAACCAGCCTTTATTTTTTTTTTTTTTTTTCCTAGTCATCAATGTATTCACAATATCTATCTGGCCAAAACAAAAGAAGCCTGAATCAGGTTTGTGCCATGCAAGATCAGTTTAGCAAGGCTGAATTGTCTCAGTAAAAGCTGAAGGGGAGGGTGCACAGGCATGTCAGTGGGTCTGCTCATTACTGCGAATAAGTTTACTGCCTTAAGGTGGTTATTAACCTATTTGGAGCATTAAGTAGTTAGTATCTTAGTTGACACTTACTTTCTTAATTTCTAACCTGAGAAGCCTTGATAAGTGATCTATCACCAAGTGTTTGCAATCACTGAAGTTGCTTGTACAAAACACAAGAGGGCACCAAACCCCTGCTGGTGCTTGGCATACTCAGTGTAACTATATACTAGCAAATACAAGCAGCTGGTAATTTCTCAACATTTGGAGTGAGTCAACAAAGATAATGAATTGCTCCAGACTTCCTTTCTCTTTTCAAAATAGATTGCTTTATACATAAGCAGATAATTGTATTATAGTAATTTTGGCTTATTACTACTGGATTTATGTCCGTCTTTTATTTATTTCCTTTGTTTTTCCTAGGAAAAAAAACCCAGTAATTTAGTGTCCAGAGACAACTGGGTATGGTGAATTGATTCTTCGCGTCCTTATGTCATTGATTTCAGTGGAATTGATCTGTTGCATTGGAAACATAATAATTTATAATAGTGTAACTGTGGCAGCATAATTATACCAGGAGAGCAATGCCAGTATATTTCTCTACAGAGGTGACCCTGAGTGAGATTAGAACTAAGCTTACTGGATCTCATTCGCCACTTTTATTCTACCTCTCCTTTCTCAGCCTTTGTCTAACAACCTTGCTCTAATTTTGTATTATTACTTTATTTTACTTTCTGGGGGGATTGCATCTGCAAAAATTGTATTTGCCAGAAGTTGCCATAGAAATAGTCTTAACATGGACTTTTCTTCAGGTAAGTGATTCAAAATATTTGAGTCTTTCAGTGTTCATAAAGCATCAAAGTCATGGTGGGAGCATATTAATTGATGCATATGGGATGATTTGTTATGCATTAAAGCCAAAGTAACACTGAGCAAAATGAGATATTGAATATACATACTTTATCATAAGATCGCATTTTGAGGCTGAAGAAACCGAATATAGTTGTGTAACCGGATCGGCGAAACAGAGGTAAAAAAACTTTGCCCCGTTACATCAGGAGCTAATAATTCTGTCTGAGCTATGATGGGATCTCTTACAAACAAATTAATAACTAAGAGATCTTTTAAATAACTAAGGTCTATATATTTTAATCCTTCTTAGTTGTCAGTAAACATCATCATAAAGGGAAGTCTTTACATTTAGTCTGGATTCGTTTGTCTTCATGTTTTCTGTTTTCAGCTAGCTCAGAGACCTAATATGGAAATTATTTTTTTTCTTATCCCCAGTGGAGTCATTTACAGATGATGACTGAGTCATTGCTTGCTTTGCTGCTTGTCTAAAATGAATAGACTGGAAAACTGTTAAGGCTTTGGTTTCAAAATATTTTCATAGCACTTTTATTAAAAACAAACAAATCCAAAAGAATGTTTACCGCGTGACAGGAAGTCTAGCTATTAGAATTACCAGCACTGAACTTATCTGTGTGCTGTATGGGAGTAATACTATCTCCTCATGATCTGATGCGGCTGAATTTGTTTCTGCTACTAGTTCTCAGCACAGTACTGCCTCTGACATTTGTCAAAGGATTTGGGTGACTGGGTAGTCGAGGTGTAAAGGAACGCTTACGGAAGAATAGACCAGAATAGATACTGAGGTTTTTTTATCTGTACTTGCTGTTGAAGTCCTTAGCAAACTTCTAATGTTGTTGACAGTTTTGACAGGGTCTCAGTTGGGAGATCTGGCTGAAATTGAAGTGTCAGTAAATGGCTTATTAAAACAAACTGGTAAGTTTCTATCAAATGTTCATTTCATTAAGGTCATTCAGGATTTTCAGAAGATTTCTGAAATAATAACTTCTGCTTAGAACTGCCTTAATACTACAGAAAAGAAAAAAATGTCCAATACGATTTAAAGAAATATGATTTAATTAAACCCACCACAAAAACCCCAACCAACCAAAACCAAAAAACCTCACAGCTGTGTGATGATTCTGTAGAGATCCAACAGAACTGATGGCTGTACCTTGCCAATTGATAGAAACTGTAATGAAGGAGTAGATGGATACACAACCATGAAATCTACCACGTGTCTTTGGAAGAATCTCTGAGTATGTATGTCAGGAGTATTGGGTTAGTAAAGTTTGCTTAAATTTTCAAAAGGCTTTTCAGCAGCATCTCTTGCCAAATGTCCACAAAGAAATTGCGTGGAATAAGAAAGAAGGGATGAATATGGAAGACTTAATTGAAAAATTGTAAATTAAGTATATTAAAAACTAGTTCTGTGCTACTCAATATATAGATAAATGATCTGGAAATGGGCTTGGGAACCCAGGGGCAGAATTTACTGACAATACCAAGTTACTCAGGCTTGAGAATAAAGAAAAAAAGCTGCAGAGAGTTGCAGAAGCATATCATGAGATTGAATGACTGGGGACTAAAATGGCAAAAGGAGTATAACATTGATAAATATAAATTGGGTATAATTAGTAAAAAGAAGTCTAATTTTATATATCTTTTATGATAGCTTTGATATATGTTGCCATTTAGGAAATGATCCCAGGCTCATAAAAGATGGTTCTATGCAAATATCAGCTTCCAAACTCAGCAGCAGACAGAAAACAAAGAGAATAATGGGTGGTACTAGGAAAGTACCAGATGATCAAACAGAAAGCATTGCAATGTAATTATGTGAATTCCTGGTACGTGCTCATTTTGGATACTGCAGGCAATTCTGGCTCTTCCCTTTCTCTCTACTGTTTCTAGTTCCACTGTAGCCTTTCTGAGTTTAGAAGGGAGAAGAAGAAGAGTCTGTTAAAAATCCTTGACTGTATCCAGCTGCCATGTTTGGTATCATCAGCGTTTCATCATTTTAGGCACCTGTGTGAACACGCCTTTTTCCCTATAGCTGCTGCTCTGAACTAGCTTGGCTTCGGAACTCGGTGAGGACGTACAGTCTGTTGGCATGCGGAGGTGGGGTGGGGAGTAAAGATGGGCAGAGACGTGTCTATTATGCAGGAGAAGTTAGCTTGAAAGGAAGACAACAGTTTGCAAATATCCTAAGGTTTTAGCATTGAAGGTACTTTTTAAACAGAACATACAGTCACAAAGTCAGTTCGCTGGTCTTTGCCAAAATTTTTGATTTTCAGTAAGGAGGCTGGAGTTGCCCTTACTTCAGTCTGGTCAGTTTTGCTGTTCTCCCCAAGGGGCATGCCCTGGGTGCCTGTGCCACCTATCCACTGTCCCAGAGGTTAAAAGCACTATACTCACTGTGTCAAGTAACAAAATAAATAAAAAAAAAAAATTACATTTTTCTGCAACACATCATCATCTATGGTCTGACATAAACGTGAGGTAACACAAGCGCAGGCTAATTTTCGTTCAAAGATGGGAGCACTTGAAAAATCTTGGAATTAAAATGAAGGTGCTCTTTCAAACACTGTAATCCTTCCCAGCCAAGACACAATGCTGATGGTGGTGCTGGTTCGTTCTCACGTGCATGGGTGTAGCAGCAACCAGCGGGCTGAAGGTGACTGTTGTCTCCCAGACGGGGCCTCCGTGTGCACCCCAGCTGCAGTGTTCACAGCAGTGGGCTGCAAGCAAACGCCCCTATTTATCGGTGCAGGGATGCTGTGAAAGAAAAGGGAGGGAAGAGACCATCGTCTTAGGGGCACGTGCTTCACCATGTAGAAATCTTACAGTGGGAATGCGTCTTTAATCCCTTAAGGAGACCTGGAGGTCAGGGGGAGGAAAGGGGAATGATTCTACCTAGCGTATTCCTCAGTAGCTCTGTAATGAGGTTTGCAGTGTATGACTTCATGCCCAGTCTAATTTCAGACCTTTTAGGAATTAAAACTCTAGAAAATTGTTACAAGAGTGGGAGATCATACTGCAGCTGAGGGTTGCCATGATGTGTCTCCAGGGTGTTCCTTTAGTGGGGCTTTGTGATAGATGATGCTACCAGACAAAAACAGGGGAATTAAAGTTTGAATAACCTGTAAGACAGACAACAAGCTGGAGGAATTAAAAATATTTGGGCACCTTTCAATTAACTGGAAAATGCTGGCCTATATTCTTACGGGGACGGATTTTCATTTGCCCAGTCTCCTTGTTGTAGGTTTCCTCCTTGTAGGCAGTTGAGTCAGGAGGAAACATCGGTCGCAGACAGTATTTATGAAGCACCTTTTACTAATTAAGCTGTTGCTGTTCTTAGAGTCAAGCTGTTGTTATTAAGCCGGTAACTGCTCCGCGCGCTCAGGCGCCCCGTTCGGGAGGCGCACCCCAGCTGTCCTGGGGTGGGGGGGCGAGGAAGCCCCTGGGGGTGCCAGCCCTTTGCGGGGTGCCTGCAGGCCCTGCCCCAGCCCGGGGCTGCCACGCGCGGGCCCCAG